GTGATACAACTGAGAAATGGGCTGTCGAGAAGATTCTGGGACATGCAGGATAAGGGCGTGAAACCATTTTTCAAGTTCTATGGAAACATGGAGATACAGCTTGGTTTGCATACAAGGACATACAACATTTGTGATTGTTTGCTACATACTTGGAAGCATATGGAGCAGCAGGTATCAGAGACCTACCTCCTGGCAAGGAACGAGCCCCTGAAGATGTTCAGCTATTTGCTGGGGTGGTTTACTTAAATACAATGGACAGGTCCAACAAGCACTCACCAAATATATTGCAGTACGACGATAACCCCAACAGGGACTGGACTCCCACACTGCTTACTCACTTCCCCAAATTTGTTGCTTACACCTCGGACTCCACTCGGCACAACAATCCTCCCGTGGCTCCTCCAGACCAGTATGATGACTGGGTTCTCGAAGTCAGAGAGGCTAACTGTGATGTCAACAAGAAAATCTTGCCGCCTTTCTCTGACAACTACACCGGATGTATCCCCAGCAAGGGCAATGCCAAGGAGTCTCGCATGATGGACAGCTTCCAGGGCTTGTACATGCGCGGTCAGCTCGTGCTTCAGCAGAGGCAGGCTGACATAATGATTGACGCAGCACAATCCCTTATTAAATAAGGGACTATGGCAGGCCAAGTCGTACTAGCGAAGCGTGCTCCAAAGGCCAACACGAAACCCAAATGGTGGGGCCATGGGCATGGTGACGGCGACACGTACAAGCCCAATTACGGACACGACAGGTATCATGGGCATGATTACAACCAGCGCAACCGCGACTTTGATGATCACGAGCGCAACAATTGCAAGCACAACTGCACATGTTCGCTGGTCGATCGCGATGTTCGTGCGCGTCACATTTCTCCTGAGAACTTCAGAGGGTTAGCTGACAACTGTGACAATGCACATGGGCACTCACGTTCCCCTGCTCGTGAACGCGCGCCTGCGGAAAGTGCCCCGGTCGATCGCGGTCATTCGCCATCCCCCACTTGAGGCCATGCACCCGAACACCCTGCTCCGTTCGAATATTGCTGCCAGAGCTCACATTCAATGGACACTGCTGCTGGATGGTCTTGCAAACGCAACATGCAGAGAGCACTGCGCAAGTGGAGGGAATTTGAGTGGGCCAAGGTGGCAAAGAAAGCTTCAGCCGCGACAGATGATGCAATGGTCATTGACACTCCAGTTTCCAAACCAGTTCTCCCCAATTTCACCAAGTTAGCTATCGGTGCCCATGCCAAGCCCGTGTCTACCATTTCCCCTGCATCTTCATCTTCGGCCTCGCCACAGTCTGTGAATGCTCTGACTCCGAATCCGCGTGCCAACCTTTTTGGCATGACTCTCAAACCTGTGAGTTCGGCCCTAGCTTCTGGATCTGTCATTGCCGAGACGGGTAACGGTCGGCACGAGGAGATTGATCCTGTAATGGTGCCGCTGCCTGAGGCCAAGGATGACAAGCTGATGGAACTGCCAGAAGGAACTGACAATGAACTGGAGGAAGAACTTGGTGTGAAGAAGGGGAAGAAGAAGGCTTGATGGGTGTGATTTTTCTCTCAAATTTTTCTCTCTTCTTTTACTGCTTGAATTAATTCCCCTACCTATTTTTTTCTACACATTATCTGTGATAATGTGGGAGGGTGTATGTAGGGGTTGCTACAATCAGCTAGGCTGATCACGTATATAAGACTCATCTGTTTGTATCTATTGTTAGAACTCCCCTTTGATGAGACTACTTTCGACTGTTCTCTCGCTTGAGGCTGAGCTCTACCACTTGAGGGAAGATTGTTCCGACCAACAGAGCATCTATCCCTACAGGATTTAATAGCATTGATGACCATGAAGTTCACGCTGCACCATTTCCAGAGGGCATTCATCTTTCGTTGCGCCCCATCGGCACCCAGGGAAGTCAGAATCATGTTGTCTGCTTGCTCCAGGTTTGTGATGAATATACCAGCAAGAAGAATATCTGTGGTCGCATCAGATAGAAGCTTGAAGTCCAACAGGTATAATGTCCACAGGATCAGAGATGATGTGTCTCCAATTAGAATCCCAATTAGTGCATGGAACATTGTAGATACTTCTGATTTGTGCCTGACAATGTAGGTCATTCTCCGGTAGAGCATGTGAAGCCAGTCAAAGATGGCCCCGCCAGCGCCTGCTGCACACATTTTCGACCAAAGAGTTGCTTGGTCTGTGGAGGGGAAGGTGTTGCTCAGGTCTGTGAAGACAACAAACAGGGGTTTTCCGAGGGCTCGAGCTCGGTCGATAACGCATCAAAGAATAAACATGTTATCATTTGTGTGATACCCCACATGGAACACATTTTGGGAGGGAGGAAGCATCCCAACAGCCAGACACCACTTGGTTAGCCGCATGTGGATGAGGAGTGTCACCAGCTTCAAAAAGCAACTCTCGAGGCCAATTGTCTGGTAGCTGTTTGGGTCATCTTTGGGCTTTCCTCGCTTCAGGAGACCAATGAGGACAGTGAGAAGCCAGATTTATGGTGCATCATTGTCACGCATGCAGCGGTTGACCAGTTGGCAGAGGACATTGTTCTCGAGATTGAAAATGTCGGCATAGCTCTGTCGGTCATAACCCTTAGAGCTTGTGGGAGGGTGTTGTCAAAGACAATCTTTTGCCTCCGCCATCACCTTTTACTTGGATGAGAACAACAGGTGCCCGACAGCCTTTAAGCACGCCTACGATGTTGCGGAATAGGTCTCCATTGGGGCACTTCCAGCCATGGGAAGACTCATCCGGGGATCATATTGTGATTGACTCCAAGGCATACTCAGAATCAGAGTATATGTGAAGAGTCCATGCTGTATTGGCGCGAAGCAGCACACGGAGAATTGTGTATACCTCGCTGCAGTTGTTAGTCTGGCTATCTGGTACACGGACAGCTTCATTCCAAGTGTGGTTCAGCCCCCAATATATCCCAGTGCCTGCAGTAGTGTTGTCCTTGCCATTATTCAGACAGGAGCTGTCTATATAGACCTCAGTTGGATTGCTTGTAGCAGTCACTGGGCCAAAGAGTTTTGCCAGCTTCTGTTCCAAACTTAGCTTTGAACCTAGCACCGCGATGAAGAGGTGGCCGAGTTCTGTGGTGTTCGGTAGGTCAATTGCACGAATTTGAGGTTCCTTGGGCTTGCAAGGCTTTGAACAGTGGGAAGGCATAGGACATTGAACTCTGCGTGCAGTTGGTCATGCCGGAAGAGCTTCTGCCATTTTGATTTCGAGGACAATGGAAGCATGGTCAGACTGTTCCCAGTCGGGCTCAAGAATCATAAACAATTTAACCCGAGCGATCACAGTGGAGTTCACAATGACATAGTCCACGACCCCCTTCCCCTGAGGCTGGAAAGACGTGTATCTGCCTGCTGTTGTGTGGCCCAAAGGCCAAGTTACCATTGAGGATCTCATATCCATGGTCTTGGCATAAGCGAATCAATGTGGTCCCCCTTGGTGACACAGGGTTATTGGCATCCACAGTGACTCTTTCAACAACTGAAGACCCCCCGTGGTTTTTTGTACGTGCATTCAGATAACCAAGACCTATCACCCCTTTCCCCGTGAGTTGTAGGAGAGCCATAGTCTCAGTATATTTGAGCAAGGGGTCATGAGCAGCCCATCCGTGTGAAGGAGTTTGCTCAGGGTGGATATAGCCATTCACTAGAAAGAGGTCTTCATGTTCAAGCTCCAGTACCATAAGATCTGGTCCTGAGAGGTCATCATAGACAGTAGCACAAATGTGGTCGTCCGCCAAGGTAAACACACCACCCAAGGGATCTTTGAAGGAATTGAGATACTTTCGTGACTTTGCCCATATCTGAACACCGTCGGGTATGTGGAGAGTTTCATGTTGGTTGGGTCTGAGATGAGTTTCTTGCATTAAATAAATATTGTGATCAGAGATGTCTTTGCAGAATTGCAGGCAGGCAAGCTTAAGAGGTAGATCACTGTCCGATAACGAATCGCAGCCAACCAGAGATCAATTTGCTTCCATGGGATCATGTGAGACCATACTCTTACTACTTAGCCCCTATATGGAATGAAGTCATTAAAGTGTGTCGGAAAAACGGGATTTGCCTGATCAGGGGCTGACCGAACCTGACAGCCTTGTCAGACGTGATCAGGTTCAATATCAGCCTTGGTCAGCACCTGGTCAGGGCTTGTCAGGTCACCCCCAACTAAAGGATAATAAAATTGGTGTGTTGGCATTCTGAATAGTTTAGATTCATCAACAGTATCTGAAGACATTGAAAAAATGAAAACACCAGCTCAAATGAGCAAGATTGAGCAAAAGCTTCTGTGAGAACCGGTGAGCGGAGCAAGGTACATAACTCAGGTCATGACCCTCCAACGAAATCAAGCCTTGTCAACAGATTACTTGTTGATCTTGAACTAGAATACATAAAATCAGTAGATAGAGCATAGATTGAAATATGCATTGAGCATAGTAAGAGCACTTGAAGGGAATCCTCGGAAGAGGATGAAATGTTTTGAATAATCCGCTGAAAATCCCCTTATCAGGCTGATCAGGGCGGTCAGCCTGATCAGCCCTTATAACGGATTTTCTGGGTTATCAGCCCCCCCCCAAACCTGATGGCCTGACAGGACCTGATATTCCCAAATCGGCCCTGATTTGGCATTTGGGCTTTTTCCGACATGGCGGCTGTTAAATTACTTAATTCCTTGTGGTTCTCAGTGTTACCTGTGATAAAAAGTGACTGCACATCCATACAGTATTTCTATCTCAAAATCCTGAGGACATGTTCTGTGAAATTTTTTTTAAAAAGCAAATGAAATTCATACAAATCTTGCATTCTTCCTGGACCCGCACCATCCTAGTCATTAGAGTTGCAGGCTCCAAATGCCTTCTCACTATTTGAGCTGAGCTAAATGGGCCAAGGAGGCAAGAAATATGTTTCTGCTGGAAGGAGGGAAAAAGGAGACTAAAGCGAATATTCGAAGGAAACAAAAAGATGCCCACTAGCTGATTCGAACAACTGATCTTGTCATGTCGTGGCTCAGGAGTTATTACATAATCCAGTCATCCTACGAGTGACACGCCTTACCACTGGGCCAAGCGGGCATGTAGAATAGTGGTGAGGATGATAATAAATAGTGCCTTGAAAACTGACCAATGAATTAAAAAAATTGAAAGAAAACGAATCAAAAATGAGGGAAAACGGTACAACTTTTTAGAAGACCAGAGCCTCATCTCTATGATGTGTCTGAAGTCCATCGACGCCCACACCATCTTCTCATGTTCAACACCTCACTTTCCATCACAATCGTTCATAATGCTGTTGGCTGATGCGAAAGTAGAGTTTCATTGAAGTGAAATTATGATACGAGTGAATCCGGCCCGCTCCATTCCATGAGATGTAAAGTCCTTTTTTCTTCCCCCACCTGAACGTGGTCTACCAATGTATCGGTAATCACAAATCCATTCTTCTGCAAGACCTTGAGACTGCCATGATTGTCCTGAAAACAGTGTTGCGGATTAAGGCCTTATTAAGGGCTAATTTTGTTGTGAACCCTTAAGACCCTTAAGAAGGCCTTAATAAGGGTACCCTTAATAAGACTTAATTTCCTAAAACGGACAGACGACCAAAACTGAGATAGATACAAAATAACTACCCATTGTAGTTGTCTCCGGATCCATTAAGTGGTCTGTCATCCAGTTTTTCATCGCTCTCTTCTGCACCCAACAGCTCCATCGGTAGGGCCTCGCGCGTGAACTGGTTCTTGTGCGGTTTCGCTACACAGTGGATATTTAGCAAGCTTCTAACTTCTCTGTCTACTTGGATGTACCCTGGTCTTGTTTTGACCCCTTGTAGAAGAACTCCCAGCAGGGCCCCAATTTCGGAGGCATAGTGAGGACTCCAAGCAGGAAGAAAACGACGCTCAAATGATGGGGCCGCGTAATTTCACATGGCAATATTAAGGCTTAATTGTGAGCGTCTGAGGCATGGGAGGGTCGGGTCGGGTCGGACCCGACCCGACTCTCGGCGGCAGTGCAGGGGCAGTGCTATAGCTGTGCCCATCATTGATGGAAGCTCCTATTTTCTGGTGGCAAGGGCCAAGCTTTAAGCTTGTGCCCTGTTGTGGTGCTTTGTTAACACTCTAATGGCTGATGTAAATTATCTATATGCTGTTTTTTTTTTCAATGTTGGATTTATGATTCCGCGCAACCCACAGCCTCATTTGGCAACATACCAGATTACGGCCGCGTCCACTTTTGTTGATTTCTATGCCCGCTATCAATGGTATTTCCAATATGGTAATGCTGGTTCAATTGATGTGTCCACCTCCACTCTTGGCAATCTCGACTCTCGACTGAATGGATCTATCGATGTCAGTATATCACAATTGAAAATGTCACATGCACTACCCAGGATTGCCACCTGTGTTGAATTTCTGCTGTGTTGGTTGCTGTTCAACCATCTTTGAACATTCAGCAGTAATTCAGCAGTAAACACCATAGGATGTATCATGGCAGGTCAATAATTCTGGTGTTTTAAAGGAAAAACAAAGACATGAAGCAAATGTTTGTACATGTTGGCTTGCGAGTCGGGTCGGGTCGCCACAGCATTTGGAAGCGGGTCGGGTCCGACCCGACCCGACCTTCCCCTGGATCCGACGATCTGGCTTAATTAAGGGTTCACAAAATCCTCATCCATTGTTAATGCTTAATGTTAAGGCCTTATTAAGGGCGACCCTTAATTAACCCTTAACCCTTAACCCTTAACCGCAACACTGCCTGAAAAGCCGACGTGCGGATGCGTGTTGTCTTCATCCACGGGATACCAAACTGCATGACGATTGTATTTACTGCAGCGGTCATCAAGCCACGGCCATTGTAGCTAGGGGCCAGGTAATCTAAGAACTTGGGTCAACATGGATTGGTTGTTTCAAGTAAAACAAAACATACAACCAACGTGCCACACGATTTCAGGGTCCCCCGCGGGGCGGGCATTGTTCTCTGCAACAAGACGCGCGCGCTCTTCAGCATCGAGAACCTCGCTCCAGCTGGACCGCGCGAGCCCCACGTCGCCGATGAATAAATCCGTCCCGTCCGCCTGCTCCTCGCGGATGTGGCGCACTGGGCACCCGCTCACAGGGTGCGGCTCCGAGACGCCGCGCAGCTCCTCCGCTGCTGCGTTTGCCTGCGCCTTCACTTTCGTGAGCCAAGCTTCGGCATTGTCCGCGGTATACGGGGTGCTGCGTCCCATCCACTTGAACACAAAAGGGTCGTTCATGATCTCGACGCTTTGCGCAACGTCGCTCATCCGCGGCGGGGTGATTATATAGTTCGAAAACGGGGCTGGGAGACGTAGGAACGGCTCGCGGGTCGTGGGGTTGTACTCGAGCCCAGTCATGGTATGGTCGCTGGCAGGATCCCGGGCTCACTCAGCAGCCTCGCTGCTGTTTAGAATCCGGTTTCAAATGTCCACGAGTATCTGGTGGGATTGAGATAAAGTAAGATCTCGCGGCGGTATGTTTCTGCCACTTTTCGGTGTACGTAGTACCTACTTTAGAAACGGGATGAATCAACTTGAACTATTAGAAACGTGTGGTGGTTGAACTACTTGGCTCCGGACCATTCCGGAGCTACACCGCCACCACTTCAAGGTAAAGTCGCACCCACTGCCGTTGCACTGCCGCCAACTTCAATACACCTCGCTCGAGTCGAGAAAGCCACTACCATCCGAATTTGTAGTTCTCGCTGGCCCATCCTTTGTCGTGCACGAATGGCTTGTAAATTTAGGACTGCCGAATCCTGGCTGGCTCTCACATTCAAGAGGGGACGCAGCACTGCCAGTAGTTCTTTCAAGGCTTGCTCTTTACTTCACTCGAACACTGCTAGTCTCGACGATGTTCTTTTATGACTCGGTCCGGACGTTTCGCAACAGAAACAAGTTTCATGGCTACACAACAAGAACCCATTCAATTCTTGTGCGTCCTTATACATATGCTTGTTCTTCAATCAGGCGACCAAATGTTCTTGTCCTTTTGTTCTTTCATCTGGCTAGCCTAGCTACCTTGTACGCTCCAATAAAGGATATAGTGACTGTGGCCACATCGGATCCATATTTAAACCACCCGCATTACAACACACCCAACCTCTGAAGATCAGTCCTCTCTCTGTAGCTTTGATAACATGGGCGTCCCGTCGAACTATCTAAATGGCAGGCGGCATTCCAGCGGCTTTGCAGCGGAAGTTACAGCCGATGGTCCCGCGAAAACTTCATTCAACAAACCTGGCGAACTCTGTTTCCAATTTCAGGATTCCTCGGGCATTTTCACAGTCAAGAGAATACGCCATGACGAGCCAAGGTGCCACCCATTCCACCACGGCGTTCCACAGACGAATATCGACGATTCGTGGGGTGAAGAGGAGTTGACCTTGCCTGGTGCCGAAGCGTCGTTTACGCCTCGTCCTGTTGATGCGATATTCATGGACAATCAAAGCCCCTGCAGCACCCGTGTCTTCGGCACCACCCACCCGACCCTTCGTCCGCCCCGACATAGAGACCGACCGCGCGATGCACCTTATCCGTGCCTGTCTAGCTGTCACGGGGATCATGCATGAGGTCAGTTCTGTTCCGTTTCTTCGTTAATTCTCTCCATTAACCACATTTCCTTCTTGCAGGCCCTCAGTGCCTGCGAGCCCTGGCTGAAGCACATTGACCTTGCGGCCAAACACTGTACAGCCCTGTCCACGACACTGAATCGCTTGCTTTCGCAGCCGCTAGCATTTGAGCGCCATCAGTGCGCACCACAGGGGCGCTGTCTGCACGAGGACTGGCACGCCGAGCATGCTCGGCAGGTCGCGCGTCTCAGCCGATTTCTGCAAAACTTCCTTCGGGAACTCCGTCCTGCTCTCGGACAAATCCCAAAGAAATTCACAATGTCCGAGCTTGAGACTAAGCTCGCCAAGTGCGACATGGATTTCCAGTCGTGCGACCGCCGCATCAGGGTGAGTCCTTTGCAGCTTGGATTATCATAAATCGAGGCGCTGATGATGTGCGTCTAGCGCTCATGGGATATTTTGGAATTTGCCGTCAAGGTGTGAGTGTCGGAGAGTAATGTGCGAGCGTCCGAGTCTGTTATGCGCGCCTCTCAGACCATCTTGGAGGCAGCCGAGGCTACTGTAGCCGCAGCCGAACTCACTATCCACGGTGCTGTGCGCGCGTCGGAGGCTACCGCAAAGGCAGCAAACGCTACCCTGGATGCCGCTACTGCTACGGTGAACGCGGCTCAGGCGGACTTGAACAAGAATCAAGAACATCTCGACGAACTGAGGTGCCAGCACGAGGTCATATCACGCGAATTCCAGGCGACGAAGTCCCGCTAATGTTTATACGCAACCGTTAACATATTGACGCTTGACCTTTCGGGCAGGAGTTTTTGTCTAGAGATGTACTAGTAGTAATTGGAGCTCAACGTGGCATCAACGGACTCCGGTCGACATCCCGCAACGCCGTTGTGGTGAAGATGTGCATTAAGAATCAACAACTCTATTCAAGTTGTGACCATAACGCTGAACGGTCTACCATCCTGTTGTCGGTGATGCTTGAAATATTAATTAGCGGTGCGATATACATCATACAATTGCTTTTGTTCCTGTTTGTCTTCCCAATTAACAGTTATATACCGAGATGAGGATGTAGTGAAAAATCCAATCAATCCATCTCCCTTCGCGCCTGGTGCGCGGGCGTCTCCAGCATGGTCGGCTTCTCTGGAGTTCCGTAGGACTCGCCGGTGCTTCAGGCTCCAAATTCTTCAGCCGCATCTCCACCAAAAACTCCTTGTCCCGAATCGCCTGAGACCACGTCCCGAGCATCTCAAACAATACCGCGCCAAATCGCAAACCCGCGACTGCGACGAAGATGGCCGGGTAGACTTCAATGACTAGAAAATAAAAGAGTGAGCGGCTTGAGGGAAAAGATATAGTGGACGGCGTACACAGAAGCCTGCTATTCTTCGGGATCATGGGGATGAAATGCTGCGCGAGGAGGAAGGCTCCGCCTGGAAGGAGAATCATCCCAAGCAGACCGAACGTCACTGGCCCGATGACCTCCC